TGCCACTTGGATCCCGCTCTCCTTTTCAGCGTGGGCTCGCTCCAGCTCCTCCTTGAGCTCGTTATTTCTGTTGGCGAGCTCATCTGCTCGGCTCTTTGCTGCAGCAGCTTGATTGGCCATCTCCGAGCCTTACAGACGATTGACATCATCCACAAGGCTGGCCTTCTCTACGGCCAACTGCTTGCAATTGGCGCTGAGCTCATTATTTTGAGAGCGAGCCCCCTGCTCGCTCTCGAATAGCGCTACCGCGTAACTGAATGCCTGCCAAACAGCAATAACTGTTAGTCTCTAGAATGGAATAGTAAAACAATTACGCAAGTGCAGGTAAATACTCACATCCATTAGCTTTATCATGGCGACCTGCCCGCCATGCAACTGCACAAAAGTCCTTGCTCGTTGACGATCCACAGGAGGTACAAAACTCTACATGCCTTGCACCATGGTGGGCTGGCAATCGGGCTTCACATAGCTGAAGCCATCCGGATAGGCAATCGAGCCGCCGACACTGAGGTCAACACAGGCGCGGGCTCCGTTGCTACCCGGGCCGTGGTAGATGGCGCGCTTGATGAGCACGCCGTTGTAGTCTGATTCACCTGCGCAGGCTGAGTCCCCAAAATTGTCCTACGTCGCATGAGGGGGACCTCATCCTCATTATCGGTCTCCTCACGTGCACACCTGCGTGCACTGGGGGCCACAGCTTCAACTTTGTGCTCGATCCGTGGCCTAGATGCCGAGCTGGATCCTCAATGTGACGAGCTGCGTGATTGAGGCGCTGGAGGTGGTCGCTCGTCAAATCGCGTCTGTCTTTGCAAGGTGCTGCCCACTCCGCGACCTCGTGAGCCCTAGGCTCGCTGATGCTAGCGTTCGAGTATGCTACTCATTTCTCTTGCACAAACAAATATATAAGACTCAGCCCGGCTAAAATTGAAGATATATGATAAAATTATACATTCTGTGAATAGGTTTGCCACATTGACAAACCCGAACACAGCGAGCTACTCTGAGGTAACCAAGGCCTCTAGATCTATCAAATTTTCCCTTCTCGCGTATTCTAGCAGCTGATTCTTTATATCCATGTCCCAAGGCAGCAGCTAAGGATAATTGACATGTGCATTCGGCACACGCCATTCAGATAGTCGAGCAGCGAGGTCATTGCTTATTCTTTCTGTTCATGTATCACGAACAAAGATGAACTGCCTCTTCCACCTCGCCACTTTGTTCCTTACGTTCTTGAACAGTTGGCTCTTCTCTCTTCCGGAGAGGTAATACCACTTCGTGCCTCTGGAGTTGGGATACAGCCGGCATTGAAACAACGACCTGAACACTATCGCCTTAGCCGGTATCTCCAACCACGCATACAACAGCATAAAGCCTATGATGAACCTTATGCTGTTGGGCGTCAACCGCGTCAGGGCCAGCTCGTAATCCGCCAGCAGATCGAATATCAGTTCAGGCAAGGGAAATCGTAGGCCAGCGTCAAAGTGGTCCACGTACATTGGCATCCAGCCCGTCTGCGACACCGTGCATGCCCTTTCATTCTGCGCGCCAGTCTAGAGCAATATTGTCCTGGGGATGTGGTACGCCCTCACCATCTCCTCCAGTTTCCTATACCCACTTATTGAGGGCACACTGTCTATTACTTCATGATGAAGCGCTGCCTTGAATCTAAATCCAGCGGGCAGGTCCTTGGGCACCTTTCGTAGATTGCTCAACCTGCTCGTGATCGTCCTGCTTTCCCATTCTCCAATCACAGGCAGATCTGAGACATTGCTAACCACATTCCCCGTCCATTCCTCGCGGCTGGGTGTCTCCTTAAAGGACGAGCTGCTGGACGATGAAGTATGGTGGTCGCCACCGTTGTCCCTAGCGCTCGAACTGGCACTGCTCTCAGGCATCCTCGTTTCTAGCAAGTCCTGCAACACCGGCGGCACTATCATTGTCATAGGCTCTACAGATATAACCCCCTCCTCTTCTTCCTCTCTGCCCTGGTTACCTCATGGCTTTCTAAGTTCTCTAAACGAATCCATTTTACCTAAAATTGATGTGTAACTGTAGTCTATGTGGTCTAGTGCTCTGTTCTTCAAGCCGGAAGTGCTTCGTTACAGAGAATATCAATAAGTTTCAAGCAAATAGTGAAATGAAAATGGAAAGGGGAACGGTTAT